GGGGATTGAGCCCCAACCCAGGCATGTGCTCTGAATGGGAATCCAATCAGTGCAGTGACCTCTTGGTGCATGGGTTGTTGCTCAACCACTGAGCCACCTCGGCCAGGCCACAGCTCTTTTATTGCTTTGTATTGTTATAAATTTCTCTTAAACTTGAGCTCCTTGTGAGCAGAGGCCTTTATGTTGTACAGGGCTCAATGCTAAGATCACAGTTAGGACTAAGAAAATCTTTATTGAATAAATACTGTGAAGCCTAAAGCAAGAGGAAGGTAAGTGAAGAAAATCTTCATGTAACTCTGTATGTAGAAGGTATTTTGTTGCTGAAGAAACAGGTAAAGGGAATTGTAACAACATGATCTGTATTTAGCTATTTTGGCTAAATTTCTAGTGTGCCATTTACAGGCCATATGTCATTATTAGGATACTTTTTCCTTTATGCACAACTTTTTGTTTCTCCCTGAGTTACTAATTAACTTGTTTGCTTAATTGCTTCATTTTTCAATGTACTTATTACTAATGCATGTCCAGCCTCTGCCTCACTTGTTAACAATCTCTCCTCAGTATGTTCAAACTCTGTTTTTTAACAATTTTATCTTAAAAAATCCTCTCCCGGAGTTTTTTCTCTCCCCCAGGTCTGATTTTAGCTGCTCCTGAGCCTGCTTTCAGGTTAGGATTATCTTCAGCACGATCCTGAAGGTTTCTGGGCCTCTTCTGTTAGAAGCTCCATTTTCTTTCTTTCTTTCTTTTAATATATCTTATTGATTTTTTTACAGAGAAGAGAGAGGAATAGAGAGTTAGAAACATGGATGAGAGAGAATCATCGATCAGCTGCCTCTTGCACACCCACTACTGGGGATGTGCCCACAACCAAGGTACATGGCCTTGACTGGAATCAAGGCCAGGACCTTTCAATCTGCAGACTGATGCTCTACCACTGAGCTAAACCGGTTTCTGCTGAAGCTCCATTTTCTAAGTCCTGCCCTGCCCTTGCCCCTCCTCTTCCTTATTTTCACCCTCCCTTGCTGGACACACCTCCAATAGCTTCCTGAGAAAGTGTGCTTGGGAGGTAAACTACCTGAGATCCTGCATGTCTAAAATGCCTTTGTTCTACCCTTACACCCAGATAGAAATGCAAATTAGATATAATTTATTCCTAGAATTTTGAAAGCATTGCTCTATTCTTCTAGCTCTCAGAAATGCTATTGAAAAGTCCAATGCAATTGAGTGTAGATTTTTGGTATGTATCCTATAGATTGCTCTGTGGGAACTTGTAGAATTTCTCTTTGTTCTCTAAGTTTATGATGTCTTGCTAAGGGATAGTTTTTATTCATGTACTGAGTACTGAGTGGTTGGCAGGAACAGGGGTGGCAGCTCTGGCTAGGTCCTTGTTTTATGGACCAATCCTGCCCTGCCCCAATTTTTTTAGAGTTTTTTGGCACAGTCACTCATTTACATACTGTCGATAGCATTACATGATCAAGTTGAGAATTTGACAGAGAGTGTATGTGCTCTGCAAAGTTTAAAATAGCTGTGGTCCTTCAGAGAAGATGTTTGCTGACTGTCCATCTAGGAAATCAAGAACTTCAATTCTGGTTTTTAAAACTATTTCCCCCCCCTTATTTTTTTTAGATTCTTTTATTTTTTTGTGTTCTTTCTGGAACTCTTTTTATTTATGTTGAACTTCCTGAATTGTCACTCAAATTATTTTCTCTTTTCCATCTCTGCTTTTGTTTGTTCTTTTGCTTAAAATATTCTTTTAATGTTATTTTTCAACCTTTCTATGAGGTTTTTTTTTTTTTGCTATCATATTTTTTATTTTGGTATAAAATTTTCTATTTTTTATAATTACCTTTTTATCATAAAACAAAAAACCACACAAAATTAATATTTATCATTAATAAATTATTATAAAGCCACCATTCATATAAGCACTACCCAGGTTGAGAAATACTGGTAGAAAAGTTTCAGTTAATTCAAAAGTCCATCCCTGCCCCAATGTAATCACAGCCCACTCTATCTGATGTAGCAGGATGCTTAAGACTGCTCTTCTCTATTACCTGTCCCCAATCTGGAATCGCCCATTTCTCCAAGAAACTCTGGATTCTTGTAATGGAAATGACATTTTTGTTCCCATTCTGGTTGCTAGCAGTGCTCATTGCTACTGAATTGGTCATTGTTTGTAGGCCTCTTCGGAGGACAGGTCATGTATATTTTCCTTTCTATTTATTGTCAGAACATATAGCCTTTATAAAGTATCCTCTCTTGCTTATAACCTTTATTTGGTCTTCCACAAATATCTATATATTTTATATATTTAATACTCACTGCCAACTCATGTATTCCTGTCAGCATTTTGGTTGTCTGAAACTCATTCTTCAGAAGATCTCTTAGGATGGGGTAACAAGAACAATGTACCTGAGTTCTCGCAGGTTAATATTTCTTTATCTATGCTCTGTGACCTGCAAAGTCAGTTTTGCTAGATGTGTAATTCTCAGCTTGCATTTTCTTTCTCTGAGTGTCTTTAACAAGTTAGCTCTGTTTTCTTCTATTATAGTAAAGCATTACTGTTGAAAACACAAATAGAATCTAATTTTTTTTCCTTATAAGTCACTTGCTCTTTTAACCTATACACCCAAAGTTTTATCTGTCTGTTTTCTTTTTTTTTCTTTTAACATTTGAAATATATTTTATTGATTTTGTACAGAGAGGAAGGGAGAGAGAGAGTTAGAAACATCAATGAGAGAGTCATCGATCAGCTGCCTCTTGCACACCCCCTACTGGGGATATGCCTGCAACCAAGGTACATGCCCTTGACCGGAATCGAACCTGGGACTTTCAGTCCCCAAGCAGACGCTCTATCCATTGAGCCAAACTGGTTTCGGCTATCTGTTTTCTATATAGTCTAAATGTTTTCTCCGAATATATCTGGTGTTAATTTTTCTGTGTCAGTATTCTCAGGTATGCGGCGTGTTCTTCCAGTGTGTCATTTCAAGCCTCCTTTTAGGTTACCAATCATGGTTTTTGGTGCTCTGTTCCCTGGCTTGGATTTCTGTCAGGGGCTCCCATTGTCTGTATGTTATATCTTCTCGCCTGTCTTCAGGCCACATTGCCACTTTTTTTTTCCTTTTTTCCATATTCTTATCTCTTCGTTTCTTTTTGGTGTTTATTTCTTCCTATATATTACTTAACAGTATTATTTGTTGTGTTTATTCACTCTTGTGTATGTATTAGTTTAGCCTTCATTTCTGATTTTTTATGACTTAATTATTTATTGAGTTGGTACATCATTTTAAAACTTTTCTGATTTTTCATCTATATTTATTGAGTTGGCACATCTTGTATAATTTTTTCAAAATATATTTTTATTGGTTTCAGAGAGAGAGAGAGAAACATCAATGATGAGAGATAGTTGTTAATGGGCTGCCTCCCACATTCCCCAGCTGGGGATCAAGCCTGCAACCCAGGCATCAGTATATAAACTTTTGCTTAAAAATACTGCCTTCTGTGGTTGAGGGTTTCTCCTTGTCTTGACTCTCACTTTTACTCTCTCCTGAAGATGACCTCTGGGATATGCATGGGAGGGGAAGAGACAGTTGCTGAGCTCTATGGGATAGGTGAGGAGAACTAGAAGGTTCTATTTCTTAATCAGTTGTTTTTTTAAATAAATCCTCTTGTTTTTAGGCCCATCTTCAAATTTATTTCCAGACGTACCTACTGTTTTCAATTGCTGAGCTTTTTGTGGTTCTGTGGTATAAATTAAGTTACTTGAATTGAACTTTCCTGGGTCTGCTAGGACAGTTACCATTTGTCCTACTTTTTACTTTCCAGAATGCAGTTCCTATTGTCTCTTCTCCGTTTCTCTTTGTCTTGAGGGTATGTGTGTGTGTGTGTGTGTGTGTCTTTGTGTGTGTGCGTGTGCACACATGTCTATCTGTGTGTATGCGTGTGTGTGTGTGTGTGTGTGTGTGTGTGTGTGTGTGTGTGTGTGTGAGAGAACCCTTTACTGTCTGTGCTTAGGGATATTTCAGGAGAGAGCAGAGCTAACACACACATTCAGTTCATCAGAAGTCTCTTCGTCTGTATTGTCTTGAGACTCTCAGGGAAGTCACTTTTCAGGTCTGTTCTTGCTTATGTTAGAGCAAGTGATAAAATGTATTTCTAATGACCCATTTTGTTTGTTTGCTTATTTTAATGGATGTTCCTGAGGCTGGTCTGAAAGATCACAAATCACGTTTTACTGTCCTCTTTTATGCCAAGCCTCATCTGCGTTTAATCAGGCCTATTTCTATTGCTTTGCTGGCCCATGAGTAAAGTTTATTTCATTTATCTTTTGTGAACATTTATCTTATGTGAGATGCCATGTAGAAATGGCATCTCACAAGGAAGATGCTAAGTAAGATGTATGTGGTAAGCCATAGAATAACTACTAAGGAAATAACTTAAAGGGGGAGGGGGGGTTGGAGGGGACGAAAGAAGAAGCTACATCCAAAAATATTCACTTACTATCTTTTTTTAAAAAGTAGTAAAGGAAAAATAGATGAAGAAAAAGGCATGAGACATAGAAAAAAAATTAAATTGGCAGACATAAACCATCTACATCAATAATAATATTAAATGTAAATGGCTTAAACATATCAGTCAAATAACATCATCAGACTGAATAAAAAGTAAAAAAGATCCAGCTACATGCTGGATGAACAAAATTGGGAATGGAAAAACAATAGAAAAAAATCCATGAAACCAAAAGTTGGTTCTTTGAAGGGGTCAACAAAACTGGCAAACCTTTAGATAGAATGACCAAGAAAAAAAAAAGAGAAGACTTCAATTTAAATTACTGGAGCCAGAGGGGAAAGAGGGGACAGTATGACCAAGAGAAAGAAAAAAGATCACAATTCCACAGATGGTTATGTGCCAGTAAGCTGGACAGCTTAGACAAAATGAACGAAGTACTTGAAAGGAACCTCTAAACCTAAAGAGCTGGCGTTGTGATGCATTTACAGGCTGCTGCCCTCTCCGCTCAAGGACGCCGTGGAAGTATCCACCTGGAGAAGATGCTACTCAATGCAGGAGGTGAACTCCGCCCTGAGTAAAATCCAGCTGGTGGGATATTCTCAGAAAATTGTGAGTGTTGACATGATCTTAAGTGATTCAGAATGTGCTTCCTATTCGTAGTGGTTTTATGGTGGGTTCCCATAGCTGCCTTTAGGAGCCATTTGATCACTAAGAATCATGTGCTTGTGCACGCCGAGGACAGAACAGTGTCTGTCCCTTTCCTCCATCCCTCCCAGTTCTTACCGGGCTCCTTCCTAACCCTTGCCTTCCCCATCACTGGCTGCATCTGGTAGGCCAGCAGGTAACAAGTCAAGAGAAAGGCATGTCATTGTTGACTTTAGGACAGATTTTAGACAAGTGACACAGGAAACAGGAAAATATAAAAGAGATCAAGAAGCCACTTGGCAAGTATAACTTTTGAGCTCTGACCTGATAAGGTTCCCATTTCTATCAACTTAATGCCCAGAGTCATTCGGTATAGAACAGCCATGAGAATAACACCTAACCTGTAAAGAAAAAGAAACTGAAGTGTTTGTGTCTGGTTTATTTCGTAACATATCCGCTCCGCCTTTCGCCAAGTGAGGCCTCATTGCCGGGTGCCATGGGGATGCACCGAAACTCTGAAAGGTGACAAGTCAAAACGATGGGGTTGCTTTCTGTCTGCCACATGGATCTTTCAGGTTTACTTGGAAACGCTTCTGAGTGGAGAAGGCTGTTTCCGCGGTTTTCTCCCACAGACCTGCCTGCGTGACTGCGTGGCTGAAAGCTCATCACCCCTTCCCGCGGTTCTCTTCCAGGAGCTGTTTGGTGCGGTCCAGGTGACCCCGCTCAGCTCCGGCTATGCCCTCGGGAGCTCCAACTGGATTATTCAGTCCCATTATGAGAAGGTGTCTTACGTCTCGGGATCCTCCTTGCTTACCACACACCCACAGGTAACCGAGTTCTCATTTAACAACGCAGCTTTTTGGTTACTTAAGCCAAACATAGACTATCTCTAGAGTACCATCAACAGTGTTTTAGCTTCCTAATTTTTTTTTATAGACACTTTCTTTAAATCATACTAAGAACACTTAACATGAGATCTACCCTCTTAATAAATTTTTAAAAATATTTTTTTATTGATTTTAGAGAGAAAGGGAGAAAGAGGGAAATATAGAAACATCAACGATGAGAGAGAATCTTGATTGAATGAATGCCTTCTGCACAACCCCTACTAGGGATTGAGCCCGCAGCTCAGACATGTGCCCTGAATGGGAATTGAACTGGCAACCTCCTGGTGCAAGGATCGACATTCAACCACTGAGCACCCCAGCCAGGCTAAATGTTTGAGTGTGGAAGACATTACTGTTGACTGTAGATAGAGTGTTGTACAGCAGCTCCCTAGAGCTTACTCACCCTGCTGCACTGAAACTTGATGTTCTACACATACACTTCATCAAAGTTATTATAGATTACTCACGTCCCACATTTAAATCTCAGAGTCCTCTGTAAGATCCTTTGCCTCTACAGCCTCCTCTAGGATTCTGAGATTTCCCAGCACTCCAATAATCATAGCCTGATGTGGAAGAGAGATGAACACTGTTTACTCAGCAGATATTAATTATTTAACATTACTAAGGACCTACTATGTGTCCAGCACTCCTCTAGGTGTGAGAGTCAGTAGTGACCCACAGGCAGAGAGAGTCCTTGCTCATGGATCTGAGTTCTGTGGATGTATGGAGAGAGCATGGGGTGCTGGAAATAAATTAGCAAAGTCATTCAGGTTGGGATATAAATACTGAAAGCAACAAAGTAAGGTTGTGTGTAGAGTGATGCAGACTAGTTTAGCTTGGATGGTCAAGAGAAAGCTTCCGGGGAGGATCTGTTTGAACTGAAACCTGAAGAAATGAGCCGCAGAAAGCAGGGAGGGCAACGTCTCACAGAGCCGTGGCAGATGAAGGGCCCGCACAGCAGGAGCAGCCGGACGTGTCGGCAGGGCAGAGACCATTCTGAGTGCAGCATCTGAGTACGGTCAGCAGAGATATCCGGAGATTAGCAGAGGCCAGGTCAGGTAGGGCTCGGTAGGCCAGCATGAGAAATTTGGATTTTATTTTCATGTGTAGAGGGAAGTTATTGGAAAGTTTTAAGTTGGTCTTTCACCAACAGTCATTTTGGCAATAAGCTAAGTACGTAAACTTTGTTACAAATGCATTAGTCATTCCCTTTTTAGGTGTTTGTAAAGAATTTATTATTCATTTTGTAAATGGATTATTCATTTTATAAATCCTGGTACTTTCCATGTTTGTAAAGGAGGACAGGGGATGTTATTAGATAGCAGTGGATGGATGGATGGATGGATGGATGGATGATGAAGGGGTGGATAGGTAGATAACTTGGAGAAGTCCAGATCCCTATTTAATATGGGGAAAAGAAGGGCTGCTGTAAGTCTAGAACTATAGGATGCTCCTGAGCTGCTACTCTGCATTGCTGTTTTTTTGTTATACCTTCTTTTATAATCAAGTTTCATCCCAAGGTCTTGAGGGGACAAGTTGTCATTTTTTCCTATAGCTTGCAGAATTCTGGGCCTTTCCCGCTTATTGAAATCAAAAGCCCATCAATGTCATCTTAACCTGCTTCATTGAATCAAATTTTCTTATTGGCAGCTTCTATCATTCCTGAAATATTCCTCCAGGAAAGACAGAAAGATTACTTGGCTGCCAACTCTCTATTTGTCCTGCTTACATCAAAGCCTTTACAGTATTATTGATGTAATTTCCAGTAAATTATTCTTATAAGGTTCGTAAATTTAAAGGGAAAATAAGGTTTTGAAAATAATGAGTATCATACTTAAGTAATTAATTTTAATTCCTAACCGGCAGCCAGTATTGTATGTAAAAAAAGAAAATAAATTAGATTTTCTTTTACCCGAATAATGGAATTCTAAGGGATAAGAAAAGTTTTGGTTTGAGAAAACTTGTTAGTATACTTCAAAAGTCAGCAAACTATGGCCCATGGACCAAATTTGAACCCACCACAAACCTGTTTTTGTAAATAATGTTTTGGTGGACTACAGCCACACCCATATGTTTATGGGTTGTTAGCGGATGCTTACACACCATTATGACAGTTAAACTTTAAACTTTACAGACAGAGGCCAACCACTGGTATACTTGAGTGGAACCCTCACTAGCTAAGGAAGTATATAGCAGGCTGTCCTAGAATCTAATGAGTACAGGAAATGCGGCTTTGGGTTAAGCCTGGGGCAGTAAGAATGGAAAGATAAGTTCAAGAAAACGTTGGCAGTTCTTTAATTCAACAATAATATATTGAATGCTCACTGTCTCTGGAGATTTCATGCTTGGAGGACATAGAGAATGGTTATAATGACACTAATCTAGGTATCAAGGAGGAGTTGTACAATCTCTCAATTTCCTTTATGAAGAAAATTCTTAATCATTGTATAATAATCCTGTGGTTGATTATTTTTTCTCTCTATGGAACTTGAAGTATGTAGATAGTGACACTTTTATGTTTCCATCTCTCCTTCCTTTTATATTTCCCATCGTCGTATTGAAGCCTCCTGAAAAAAATTCCTCTTGATCCCCCAGCTCAGGAATTCCTTCTTTGGCTGTACCCGTACTGCTCTTCAACGTATGTGCTGAGTTTTTTATTTCAACAAGTGTATTTTCATACACAGTATTTCCAAATATTTTTCTTGGTACTTAGTCATTTTTATTTCACGTCCTGGTTTTTATATTATTTCTGTGTGGGCTTTTTAATGCGTATACTACTCTTCTGTGTTCTGGTTTGCCACGTGGGGTGGGTTTGCAGCTTATTGTGTTTAGAAGGTGTTGTGTTCCTCAGAGGTCCTGCGCTGTTTCCCTGTGAGCTCTCACTACTTGCCCCACAGGAAGGAGATCCTCTGCTCCGGAATTTGTCTGCCTGGCTTGTTTCCCATCAGTTAGCCTTGGAGTGAGGGACAGGCCAGGGCTGTAGGTCTGCCTGCACCTCCTGCGAATGCTCACCTCCATCCTGTCATTTCCTTCCTCACTGTGTGGGAGCAGCCACAGTCTGCCAGCAGGAGCATAGACGGGAGAAAAGGAGACAAGGTGTTCTTTTCCCAACCTCTCCTCCCGCAGTGGCCAGGCTCTTGCCAGTCTGTCCCTGTTCCAGAACCCATGGTTTCCCCAAGAATTTATTCCAGTTTTTTACTCTCTCAAAATGTGTCAGTTCTCTTACATCTAAGCTGTCCCTGCGTTCAGATCCTAAAAGGGAGCCAGCCGCTGTTGTGCTCACTGTCTCTGTCTTGTCAGGACGCACAGCGGACTTTTTGTTTTGTTTTAGAATAATATGCTTGCCTTATATTTCTTATTGGAGCACTATCTTTAGTGTAGTAATTTTGGAAAACTTTGAAACCTCAGAAGAAAAAAATTGTAGTAATCTTAATTTAAAAAAACAACAACTATTTACAGCCAGCTTTTCTGTCTTTCTCATTTAACTATTTAATGAATTTTTTAGTTAATAGTATTCCACCACAAGGTGTTTGATATTTGCCTGGTAGTCCATCATATGGGTATGCAATAAAATGTTTAACTTTTATCACTGTTGGACATTTAAGGTGTGTGTGGTTTTTTGTTTTTGTTTTTTAACTTTTTTATAACTGAAAAATATCTACACCAAATAGATGTGCAGTGTGCTCAGAAAAAGGGTAAGGACATTGCTTGGAAACAATAATACTAATAGAACAAAACAAACAGTAACTGTTGGCTAGATCCCATCAGTGCATTAGCTAGAGCTAGAGCACTTTTGGTTATTAGAGCCAATGCCTTTTTGGCCTTAGAAATCAAATTAATGGATTTGCTTGTGGGTTGTGAAACCTATATTTGAACACCAGTTTTTCTCTTATAATGGTTTGAAAAGGCAACTTAACACTCATTATTTCAATAGCTTCCTGGCTATTTTGCCTGACTTCCCAGCAGGACCTGAGTTTTAGGTGTGAAAAATCACCAGCGTAATAGAGCCAAAGCTACAAATACCTAGAGTGGGAAGCTACAGAATTCCTGGTTGGTTTGAGAAACTGAGCTCGTCCAGGACAGTGATAGAGGCGAAGGCTTGAAGCATGGAAAATTGTAGTGTGTGGCATTGTAATTTGCTGGTGGTGTTGCTCTTGGCAGTGCTTTGGTGTGTTTAAGGTGTTGATCTTTTTCCTGAAAAGGCGTTGATCCCACCACTCAGCCCTCATGGCCTTGAGGACTCTCCCACAGCTTGGTCTCTAGATGGGACAAATTTGAGAGACCAACTCAGCCAATCACGAGGCTGTTTCTTTTTTCTCCCATCAAAGAAGGATAGGTCAGGATAAACCCATTTGCTCTCCCTCCCCTCAACACTTGCACCTTGCCAAAACTAAATGTACTATTGTGTCCTTACTCTTTTAAATCGTCGCATCGCTGACATTTTGCAGTCACCTTAAAGCCTTGCTTTCTCCGTTGTCCTGTGTGTCTGACCCATCCCCAGATGCCGGTGTTTTCCGGTGTTGTGTGGATCTGCTTCTTCATCTCAACTGCCGTGAGGCTACCGTGCTTTTCCCTCTGTGTCTGAGCTGCCGGTAGCTCTCTGGTCCGTATTCCTTCTGGCATTCATATACTCAATGCTAGCTCTCTTGATATTTGCATTATTTCTTCTATGGCTTTTTGAAAAACCCCTCTTTCTGATTATACAGAGATGTTTTCAACTTAACCGTAAGCTTCTAGGACCAAAAGAACTGGGTCTTCTTTTTCTCGCGTCCCGGACAAGTGTCAGGGACAGTCACCCAGCAGAGGACCCACGTGATCGCCACAGCGTCCTTGGGCTTAGGGTTGCTCAAAATTTTATTCTACAAGATCGATTGTAATTGTCAACTTAATAAGGCATTTTTATTTGAGTCTAGTACACAATGGAACTTTCTGTTCTTGTGTGTTTGAACAAAATGTTCCCATTTGAAGTGCCCAGGCATGGCCATTGAAAGCAGCCAGTGTGTACATCTGCCCTTCGGTGGGGCCTGGGGACGGTGGTGGTGTGGAGAGGTCACCAAAAGCCTTGTCAGCCTCCTTCTCGCAGCAGCGCTGGCCATCAGCAAGGACGTCTCCGGCTTACAGCGCTAGATAAGGAGCATCTGAGCGGAGCCCCAGCTTCCGCATGGAGTATTGGCCTGACATGGAGTATTTGCCTGACATGGAGTATTTCATAACTTCCAACTTGGTGGGGTTTAAGTTGTAGAACTGCTTTTTGGTTTTTGTTTGTTTGAAGTTACAGCTGAGCTGTGGGATGATTTTTTTTTTTTTCTTTTCCCCATCACCATTTATCCCCTCTATGCCCTCTTCCACCCCCTCACCCTCCGCTCAATCACACTCTGTTGTCCATGAGATCGCTCTTTTTTTTTCTTTTTTGCTCAACCTTCCCCCTAAGCACCCACCACCACCACCACCACCAGAGCTGTCTGCCTACTTTCTTTCTATGAGTCTGTCTCTAGAAAGCTTAGTTGGTCAGAGCACCATCCCTTTATACAAATGCTTTTGTTTATTTTTTTATTATGGGCATTTAATTTTCAAAGGAAGGCAGTGCTGATGCTGACGTCCAGAGATAATGTTTTCAGCGCCAGAATTTGTTCTTAATTATATGCTTTCATTTAGACCCGTGGTTCTTAACCTTTTGGGGTCATGGCCCATAAGACAGTCCAATTAACTCTATAGAGAAATGGAGAAATGTACATAGGCACACACAGAGTTTTATATACCATCTCAGGGGGTGCTGCAGCCTCTGAATTTCCCCATCTCCCATCAGCCATATGAGTCACGATTGGCTTGTTCAAATAAGACTCATAAAATTCTTACCATTTTAAGCTGAAAATACTGCCCAGCAAAACTTGGTCCCTTTTGTCACCATTCCAGTTTCCTTGTGTTTGATGCATGATAGTTAACATTCCCAGGCTCATTACACATGTGCTACTAAACCCCTGGACTCTACCCCATCTTCCTTCCTTCTCTAGAAACAGTGGATGCATTTGTATTTGTTGGAGAAGCACAAATAGACATGTCAGGTCTTCCCAAGCAGCAGAAAAGCTCTTACACACATTAGCATACTCTGCGAATAGGAATTAGAAGCTATCTGTAATAATAAAAGCCTAAGCGACCATCACAACCAAACGGATGACCGAACAGGCCTGCAGGGGGTTAGTAAAGGGCGACAAACGACTGAGCTGAGCAACCAGGCTGGGGGGGGGGGGGGGCAGGTGGGGGCAGGTGGGGAGATAGGGAGGAAGTAGGGTGACCAGGCCAGCAGTGCAGGGGTGCAGTTGGGGGCAACCAGGCCAGCAGGGAAGGGGGGATGTAGTTGGGGGGACCAAGCTGGGAGCGGGGGACAGTTGAGGATGATTTAGGCTGGCTGGCAGTAAGAGGTGACCAGGACCAGCAGGGGGGGCAGTTAAGGATGATTAGGGGCAGTGAGAGGCGACCAGGCCAGCAGAAGCTTAGTGAGGGATGACCAAACAACTGAACAGCAGGCTGTGTGGGGCGACCAGACTGGCAGGGGGGCGACCAGGCGGGGGGGGGGGGGGGGCAATTAGGAGCGATCCCTGGCATCAGGCCTAAACCGGCAGTTGGACATCCCCCAAGGGGTCCCAGATTGGAGAGGGTGCAGGCTGGGCTGAGGGAACCCATCTGCCCCCTCCCTCCCCCCCATCTCGTGCATGAATTTCATGCACTGGGCCTTTAGTTCAGTATAATTATCATAACTGTGTTTTTTCTATATTCTTATTAAAGAAATGTTTTTCAGCTTATGTAACAACAGTCATATTTAAAAAATAATGAAGCCCATGCTTATATAAAATGCTAAAGGAAAATACATCAAAAGGCACATATACTCAGAATAACATTGCAGATGGTGGGTCTTTCTTTGCTGTACTACAATTTGGAATTTTATTTTTTTAATTGGGAAATCTGGGTGGAACAGAGAAAGGAGGGATGGAACACAATAATCTGTGTTTCTGGTTTTCTTTCTTCTAACATCCCGATGAGTATGTTAAATCAAGGAAAAAATGGTGTTACAAAATAAAAACACTTATGAGCTCTCCAGCAGCTCACTCATGGAATCATTTTTATTGCCAGTTTGAATCCTGATATAATTGCGGGGGGGAGGGGGGGGAATAAAAAATTCAAATTGTGCCAGGTGAGAATAAAAATACAACAGCCTGCCCCAGCTCAGTTTGTTGGCCATCATCCCATGCACCAAAAGGTCATTGGTTCGATTCCTAGTCAGGGCACGTGCCTGGTAGGGGGAGTGCAGGAGGCAGCAGATCCATGTTTCACTCTCACATCAATGTTTCTCTTTCTCTCTCTCTCTCCCTTCCTCTCTCTAAAAATCAATAAAAATATTTTTTTTAAAAAAGCATCCTGAGGATCATATAACAGTGCACCATTAGACTTCATAGTTCATAAGAATATCATGAATATTATCATGAGACTCTCAGAAATCAGTGAAGGGAAATGGGTGAAGACAAACGCCCATTATACAAGAAACCCAGCTCCAAGCCTTGGCTGAGGCCCTGTGGCTAGTGATGGAATTTGAAGGAAGAAACATGTTTCTTATTGCTAATCCATGTTCTTTCTGGTTCCTCCGCCACTGGACTTAGGAGAAATCAACTCCTGGAGTCCCAACTTGCGCATTTTCATAAAAACGCTTGATTCCCGGTGCTCGCAGAGTTGATTTGAGAATCACATTACACAGTCTAATCGTTCTCAAGGCATGATCCCCACTCCGTCCCCGGAGCACCTCCTGGGAGCTTGTTAGCAATGCACATCCCTGGCCCATCAGACCTGCATCAGAAGTCCTGGGGCAGGTCCACAGTCCCCGGTCCAGCCGACTGCAGGTGATTCTGATGCACCTCAAGTCTGAGACCCCCAGCCCCATGGTAAATGTGAGGTCATGTTGTGAGAGGAGCAAAAAGCATTATAGAAACCTGCTGATTTTCATTGAAGTAAAATCTATACAGAGTGAAACATCTTAAATGAACAGTGCTGTGAACTTCGATATCACGTGCTCAGCACCCCGTGGAGTTCGCTCACGCCTCCTCCATCCCCATCAGTCCCCACACTCCATGAGCAACCACTGTTTGGTGACAGGCGTCAGCAGGGGAAGCAGAGGACGTGGTGATGAGTTGGACATAGAGCAATGTGATGCTCTTTTTCCTTTATGTTTGTAGGTCACGTCCCTTTTTAAATGACTAAGTGTGGCTCTCTGATTTTTCAGCCCATGGACCAGGCATCTCTCAAAAACAGCGACGTTCTCGTCCTGACCGGCCTCACCCAGATTCCCACCGCCAACCCGGACGGCATGGTGGGAGAGTTCTTCAGCAACCTGGGTACGTGGCCACCTGGCTTCTGTAGCATTTTGCCCCTTCCTTCCTAGTCATGCCCCACATGCCCCCTTTGAAGACCTTTCCCCATTTACTCTCACCCTTTTTGTTCATCCTGCAAAACCATTCATCAACAAAAGCAATTCTTAGGCAACTTCGATCTGAAGGTACGGTAAAGAGAAAGTTGTTATAATGGTAAATTCGGATTTTTAGCACGCAGTAACCACAGATACTCAGCATTCTCTCACTTGTTTATATAGAAAATTCTTCGTTGCACCCACCGAAGTAGGAAAATGAAAGAAATCCAGATATTACACGTTCCATTCTACTTTTATAAAACTGTCCTTCTGATACTGTCGTTTTCCTCCTGGCTTCTGTCTCCCCAGCGCTGACCGTCCGGAACGGAGGAAACGTGCTGGTCCCCTGCTACCCGTCGGGGGTGATCTACGACCTGCTGGAGTGCCTGTACCAGTACATCGACTCGGCCGGCCTCTCCAGCATCCCCTTCTACTTCCTCTCCCCCGTGGCGAACAGCTCCCTCGAGTTCTCCCAGATCTTCGCTGAGTGGTAGGCCTGTGTTCTCTCTGAGTTCTACTTTGAGGCAGTACATTCAAGCAGTAAGAACAGAAGCAGCCCTGCTTCTCCCCACGGCGCTGGGAGGCTTCCGTTCTGTGGCTTTCCCGCGTCTGTGATGTGAAGCTTGTGCTACTGAAGCCACGTCCGTCTCAGGGCTAACTAACCGCTAGAAGAGTAGCTGGGAAGGGAGGAAGGACTTCACTTAGCCGGCACTTTCCAGATTCGTCACAAAAATGCTACCATTGACCTTCTCACCTGCTGCCTTCTGCCTGTTGTTACAAAGTAAAATTGCATTCTAGAAGCGGGAAAAGATGTTAAAGCCCAAGCTTGCGTCGCCTACACTTCTGATACCAAATCTGAAAGAAAAACTATATATTTTCATCTTACTAGCATGACATCTGACGAAATTTAGTTTTATTACAGCAGGACATTGACCAAGCGCAGGGAGAGTAAATTACTGAACAGTAAGTCGCCCGCGAACCTTTGCAGGAGCACTCAGATGCCTGAGTGGACCTCACCCACCTTGGCCAGCAGCAGGGCGGGACGGAGGAAACAGATCCACTTTCCCCGGACACGCGGCAGTGCCCGAGGGTGGCAGGTCCCAGCGTTCAGGGTGTGAAAACACGTGCCCTCAGGTGGTGCGGTGGCCTCAGGGCACAGTGTGCTACTAAGTTTCTCTTGAACAAGAAATGTGTGCCTCCTCTGGGTCACATCTCACGCTGCCCGCAGCCCTTCTCAGGCCTCTCCCGCCCCTCCTCTTAGTTGTGGGGGATCTTTCTTTGTGACACGCAGACAGGCTTCTCCGTCCCGCGCATGTCACATCTGCAGTGTTATGGAGGCACTGACTCCCCAGCTTGAGTTGCTGTGCAGCGCAGTGGCTGTGACACACAGGAAGCTGTGTCTCTGCAAAGGGTATGTCAGTTCCCCCTCGCTACTGCTGTCCAGGGCAATACGGAGTCCTGCTTGGATCCAAAGGACATGGTGGGACAACTGGTGAAATCCCTGGCAAGTCTGGAATTTGGCTCGTTGTGATGTACTGATGTTAATGTTTTAGTTTAACAAGTTCATCACTGCTGTGCATGACACTAACATCAGGGACAGTGGGTGAAGGGACTAGGAGAAGCTCGACTATCTTCCAACTTTCCTGTAAATCTAAGATTATTTCAAAACAACAAGGTTTCTTCTTAAGGAAAACAAAATGTATTAAGGAATTTTAAAGGTTAAAAAAGTGCTTAAAAGAGTTTTCTGTCCTGAGTGCTCTCTAGATGTTGGATTTTATTCTGTTACATGCTGAGATTCACTGAGGACTTATTACTTGCACTTATTACTCACTCACTGCTACCACTAGGTGGCACCAACAAGCCTGTGTGCCCCACTGACCGGCTTATCTGCTTTTCCTCTTCAGGCTTTGTCACAACAAGCAGGCGAAGGTGTACCTCCCAGAACCACCTTTTCCTCATGCAGAGGTAAGAAAATGGTCTCCTGGGATCAGAGCAGGAAAGAACTTGAGGTGAATGGACATGGATGGAGATAGCAGGCCGTTAGACAAAAATGCTAAACTCGTCGCCCTTAGCTTCCCATATGCGATGGAGGGAAGGACTCTACCTCCAGGTCCCTTACTTTCTCTTCCTGACATTGCATTGCCGGTGTGCACTCACACCTCAGAGCCTGCCTCTGTTCTCTCGACTGCGCGAGGAATTCTATTCTGTTACCTACTACTAACATGTTTGCATCACAGATTTCTTATTGTAAAGTCCCGTTATGTTAATCGTAGATGTGAAGTTTTAATGATGAAAATGATAACATATCACTTTAAAAAAAACTGGAGGCCAAAAGGCACAAACCTCCAGTTATAAACAAACGAGTCACGGCGATGTCCTGTGCCGCATGGTGACCAGCGTTAATGTTTGAAAGCTGCTAAGAGAGCAGATCTTAAATGTCCTCGTCACAGGGGGAAAGTTGTGTCACTGCAGTGACAGGTGTCAGCTAGACTCACCGTGGTGGTCCTTCGGTGACACACACACCACCAAAGGGTGATGTTGCACACCTGGAAGTAATGTTACTTGTCACTGTCACCTCAATTTTTAAAAAACAGGAAAGTTTCCCTCCCTCACAGGATGTAGCTGTGTGCCCAGTTTTGTTTTGTTTTTTTTCTTCCACTAAACATTGTATCCCTGGCATTTTCCTGTGTGCCTCATATCATGATTATTGCAGCCTAATCTGCCATATCATGTGAGCATACTATAATGTTCTTAACCATATTCTCTATCACACAATAGAGTTGCTCTCAATTTTTTGTTTTATGTATGTGTGTGTGTGTTATGTTTATATATATGTCATATAAAATTTAAAGAAGTTTACATTGGTATAAGCACGTCAGGGAACTGGTAGTACCCGCCAGGGCACGCGGTGACTCCGGATGGTCAGATACAGTAGTCCCCGGACAGGTAGGTCTGAGCGGCAAAACCAGAGATGAATTTATCTTAGTCCTGTGCATTGATCGGGAGAATTGCAGGAACTCTAGGTGATGCCTGGAAAATGACTCAAGTTACGTGCAAAGACCTGCTATTCTTAGCGGCCCATTCATCTCCTTGACATCTCTGGATACAGAAGACTTATTTGTCTTTTGGACAGCCGCTCACTCATTTAACGGGGGCGGGCAGCGATCATGGCCCACTAGGTTATAGAAAGAATGTCAGTTTTGTTTGTAGCTTGGGAGGAAAGTGGGAGCTCAGAGCTGGCTCCCTATTGTGCATGCCCCATCAGAGCACATGACACCGATGTTTCCAGACCCTCTTCTGCAGGAGGGGCTGCTTCAGGATTAAACCGGGCCATGGTCATGCCATTGCCCATTCAGCAGCATCTCCAGACGATACTCCCTTTGGCTTAGTGGACACCTAGGGTCTCTGACGTCTGGGTCTTTAGATGCTGGAGAGGGGGGTGGGGCAGGGTCAAGGCAGCAGGCAGTGTCTGGGCAGAGTCCTCAGATGCCAGCTGTGGCGGTGGCTGTGTATGGTGTTGCCTTGGATCGGCCTGACGTTGGGAAGGTATCAAGTATTGGGCTGGAAGGGAGCCCTTTTTGGTTCCAAATATAAATGTTTGAGACAGGTTTGGGGCTGTGCACGGCCTGCCTCTCACTTAGCTCTCGGTGCAATGCGGATGACACAGCTCCCAGGCTTCTAAGAGCCAGTTTGGCCTCGGTCTTTATCCAGTTGCCACAGTCACTGACAGCTCAAGAGGAGTCCTGAGGGTAAACAGTGGCTCTTGTGGGAGGCGTTTATTGGCGGCAGAACTTGGTGAATCACAAGTTTTGGGAAGGTAACCTGGTACCAGGGACTGTGGGCCAGGGCTCCAAGTGTCAGGAAGTTCTGAAGCAGGGGTGGGGAACCTTTTTCCTGCTAAGGGCCATTTGGACATTTATGACATCATCCGCGGGCCGTACAAAAATTACCAGCTTAGAGTTAGCCTGCTGTATTTGGTCAGACATTTCATTAACTCACCCCTAATGCCTTGGTAGGGGCCAGACCCTGATTTTGTGGGCCTTACACGGCCCGAGGGCCGGACGTGCCACCCCTGCTATAGAGGAAGGCAGGACTGCATCAGCCTACCAACCTGAAAAGCTTCGTTGATTGAGAGTTACATTGTAGGTTTAAAAAAGGTTAATCTGTGGCAAGTTATAATGAGATTCGTTTGTATTTTTAATTTACTTCTGGTCACCCTCCCACATTGTGGCCTCCCTCCCCCCCAGACCGGCTAACGTTCTGTGCATCGATTCCAGCTCATTCAGACCAACAAGCTGAAGCACTACCCCAGCATCCACGGCGACTTCAGCAACGACTTCAGGCAGCCGTGCGTGGTGTTCACTGGCCACCCCTCCCTCCGCTTCGGGGACGTGGTCCATTTCATGGAGCTCTGGGGCAAGTCCAGTCTCAACACGGTCATCTTCACAGGTGAGTCAGCCCTGCCCTTTCCGCTGGCACCTTCACTGAGCACTCCTACCAGGGAGAGACCCAGGGCAATTTTGTTGTTAATCCTCACCAGAGGATTTTTTTCCCCATTGATTTTTAGAGAGAGAGTGTAAAGAGATGTGTGTGTGAGGGGGGGAGGGAGGGCCAACAGGAGAGACAGAGAGAGAGAAACATCTGGGGAAGAGAGAGACACATCGATTGGTTGCCTCCTGCACAAGCTCCAACCAGGGCTGGGATCGGGCCTGCAACTGAGATACGTGCTCTTAACCAGAATTGAACCTGGGACCGTTGTGTGTGTGGGACGACGATTCAGCTAACTGAGCCACACCAGTCAGGGCCAGAGACCGTTTTTAAAATAAGGCATAAGTTTGAACACTCTTTTGTCATAACATATTAAAGGATAAAGAAACCACAAGGGACAGAGCAGAAGGTCTTATTAAGTTACTGTGAGACAAAGCTTTTGTACCCGTGTCTGCCGCTTTTCCCCGGAGACAGATTTCCCTCAGCGCTCTGGGAGGGCTGTGGCTTCAGGAATTGCAGGAGTCCTCGTCTGGGTCTTTCTGCTTTGGTGACAGTTCGCTCTGGCTCGCATTGCAAGGTGTTTTTGTTTTGTTTTTGTTTGAGGGTTTCATTTTCCAGAAAAAAACAGAGTAAAATAAGTCCTTTAATGAGACCATGCCCAGTTTTTACTAAATCACTACATTCTGTGATCAGTTTAAGGTCCTCAGACAGCCTGGACATTTGTACATCTTGTGGGCTGTGCAGTAGAAAATCCTGCTCTGAAGTCTAGTCCAGCTTGCCGTCTCCTAAGCCATGCTGCCTCCGCCCCCCTGAGCCTGGCTCTCCTCTGTGCCCCGGGCCGTGGTGGCCTCTCCTGGCAGCTGTGCGTGGGGTGGGTGGTGAGAGAAAGCACTTGACGCCGGGCTGCACCCAGAGCTGCTGACTGGGCGCCGTCTCACAGTTTTCCCACTGCTGAGACTTCATGGAGCAGAGGCTGTTTGTGCCCACAGTGTCGGGTCAGGGGCCCTGTGGGCCCTCCCTGTGCTCAGCCAGTTTGTGAGGGAACAGTGTCCTCAGACAGAGCCCCCCCCCCGGGAACACGCGGTGCTTAAACAAGCACAGGCCGACTGACTCCGCCAGGAGGGAGACGCGGGCCACAGGCAGGCGGGAGGCAGGTTCACAGACGTGGGACATCGACTGGGTGTCTCGGTGATTCGTAGCCAGAGGGCAGGAAGCATGGAGCCAGGTCGGTCATGTTTGTGGTTTGAACAGTGCTGTGGTTCCGGCAGGGTTGTGGGGGGGAAGGAAGGGGTGTCTTGTTTTTGTCTGGATCCATCGTGGTCACCGAGTGGCCTTGTCTGGGTCAGTGTTGGTGAAATCGCTTATGGCACACCTTGCTGCCAGGAAGTGCAGAGCTCGGAGAGCAGCTGTCAGCTGCTTCTCTATTCCCGGGTCCCCTTCCAGCCCCGGCAGAGAGGTCAGCCACCGAACCCTGATTCGTGACACCCGGAACCTCGCCGCTGTCTAGTTCTGAGCAGGGGCGTGCGTGCAGGGAAGTCATCTGTGGTTTAGGGGGACCGAGGGCGGTCTCCCCTTTGGGGGAGGTGCTAACTCTGATGGACAGTGGGCACAGCAGGAAGTGTCCGCTCTGCATAAACGTTTCTTTAGCCAGCGGGACGAAATCAAGGCTCTGCAATTGTCTGTCCACCCCAAATAATGAACCTAAGTTTAAACTGCCTAAATGGGCTTCCATAACAGACGTGCGTGCATGATGTCTGCTAGAGTCAGAAGTTTGGGGCCAGTTCTCCCAGTTGTGTTATGACAGCGGTGGGAATTGCAGCTCGCACAGTGGATGTAAAAAGGGGGTCAGCTACCCTCCCTCCGCTGGCCCGTGTGGGGGTTCCTACATCTCTTCTTGGGGAAACGGGGTCCATGGAGGTGTTGATGTAAACATGGGCACAGCAGGGTGCAGGTGAGGGGAGCACTGTGGGCGCAGGCTGTGTGCGCCAGGAGGAGCCGGGTCTGCGGCTCCCGGGGGTAGCTCCTCGGACAAGGGAAGCGTCCCCGCCAAGCAGCCTGCACGAGTGGCTCTTGAGGGAACAGCTGGCCGTGGTGACAGGGTGGTGACTGGTGGTTTCAGCCCAATCCCCACAGGCTATGCCGAGGGACCCCAGTGGTGCATGAAGTGCTGGGCTCTGCCCACAGGAGGCCAGGTCTCGGCAGGAGCATTTGCTCACGGGGGGGGAGGGGGGGGGGGGTCAGGGCCCTTGTTTTCTTCTGGGTGCATCCTGAGAGGAAGGGGGCTGAGCGTGGCTCAGGCCTGGTGTGGACCCGAGCACCTGAGTCCAAGTTGGGGCCACATTTCTTCCCTCCGAAGTCACTGTTCTGTGTTTTGTCTCTTGAGACAATTTGAGTCTGTGTATATGTCCCGGTCTTTCTCAAATTTTCATCTAATTTTTGTAGCATTTATTGACTATTCTGGACTGAATATGTAATTACTGTGATGGTTTCCAGATAGTGATTTTTAAACAATTATTTCTTTTGCAATTATTAACTGGTATTTTGTTGCAAACAAGAGCTTTCTCTAACCCACTTATTTATCCCTCATTTATCTCATGGACCCCTTTATTCACACCCATACCTGCCGCTGCTCCCCATCCTACAGGCCTCATCCTGGCCTCTCCCCTTCCCTGTGTGAAGTGGCTCCTCTGTCTGGTGATGAGGCGCCCCTCGGAGCACTCTCTCACGGGCTCACCCTCCTGACCGCCTGCTTGCCCTGACCACCCAGCCGCCTCCTCGCTGGGCAGCTCCTCAGTTCCCTGCACTTAACTCGTCTTCTCTGTGCTCCCCTTAGAACCCGACTTCTCGTACCTGGAGGCACTGGCTCCCTACCAGCCCTTGGCCATGAAATGCATTTACTGTCCCATTGATACCCGGCTGAATTTCATCCAAGTGTCCAAGCTGCTCAAAGAAGTGCAGGTAACCAAGGCAACCGTGCCGGTGTCTTTCCGTGACCCGTGTCCTGGCATCGGGGGTGTACCCATAGTGCGAGGGCGGGGCATGTGGGTCATTCCTTCCTCCCGGCTCAGCGTCTGCAGAGCTGGGTCATTTCCCTTCACACTTCAGCATGGGCTTCAGCCCTGCAAGCCGTGTCCATCCTAACGAACTCCAAGTGGGAAGGGAGAGCAGCGTCAGGGCCGTCCTTTCTATGAGGACGTTTGTGTCCGGTTAAAAGCCAGTTGTCCCCTCCACCCCCCAGAAAGTCCTCACGGAGCTGGAAGGCAGCTTCCCTGGGAGGGGGCCGGGCTGGTGCACCGAAGTTCTGTTAGTGCCACACAGAGTCGTCGTGGTTTTCGCCGGAAGTTTGGTTCGGTTTGGTTTTTGTTCTTGCTTTCGCTTGCTGGGTGTTTGCATTTGGCATTTTCTGCCAGAGGAAGGGGAGAAGTTGGGTGAGGTGGCAGGTAGAAGGAAGACGTCTGGACAGGAGACTGGAGAAGAGCAGGGAATGAAAACTGCACTGTCAGCTGCCGGGGCGGGGTGTTTTGAGGTTGGCGGTGGGGAGGCAGTTGGAATTGTCGGGAGGGACGGCTGAGAACAGGCCAGGGAACTTCGCACTTCCCGCTTCGGTGTCCTCGGGACCTCAAACGAGGGCCACGGTGGCCCGCACCTCTCCTGACTCCTCAGCTATCGCTCAGCGGGCGTGATGCCCCTCAGCCTCGGCGAGGTCAGGCGTTCACTTTCCCCCTCTGCAGAGTCTCTGACTCAGGAGAGAGACGCCATCACAGAGCTCAGAGGCAGGGAGGCTGGGACCCAAGAGGGCCGGGTAGAGCGGCTTCTCCAGCCGGCGTGGAGCAGCCACTGCCTCTGGGCTGTTGGGTGGTGTGACCCCCCTGCCCCGTGTGCCAGCGCGCCGGGAGGTTAAGAGCCTGTGGTGTCCATTCCTGGGCATTCCTTAAGCCAGGTCAGCCGGGGCTGAGCCTGGACAGGCTGCCTGGTCTCCCGGGGGAGAGGAGACGGAGTCCTCAGGCTGGGACGGGAGTGGATGGCCCCAGGCAGCCAGAAGATGTGCTTGCCCGTCCCCTGGCTAGCGGCTCAGGGTTTGCCTGAAGTTTCTCCTCTTCCCCCTCTGCACTCCTCTCCCCCCGGTCACTTGTGCGAGGAAAGTTCACAGTGGCCTGGAAGTGCTGAGCCTTGTCCGTGCCAGGAAGGGAGGAGCAGGGGCTTCTGAATGGGCTGCTCTGCCTCACGCCTCCTCTCCCTCCTCCCCCTCCCCCCCCCCTCCCGGCCCCTCAGCCCCTGCACGTGGTCTGCCCGGAGCAGTACACGCAGCCGCCCCCCACGCAAGCCCACAGGATGGACCTGATGATCGACTGCCAGCCGCCGCCCATGTCCTACCGGCGGGCCGAGGTCCTCGCCCTGCCCTTCAAGCGGCGCTACGAGAAGATCGAGATCATGCCGGAGGTGAGCGCCCCTTCTGGTGAACTGGCGGGATTGGCTGGTCTCTGGAAGTAGGCCCGGGCCTCCGGTTAGGGTTTGTGTCTAATGTGCGTGAGCCAAAGAGCCTCTTGGCCCCCAAGGAAGTAGTTGGGAAGAGGCTGGATTTCATGTTTTCATTCACATTTTTCAAGCAGTGAAGCGACAGCTGTGAGCATCAGGGCTGCTGACTGCTGCTCTGATTAAGATTCTGCATGTGATCCGGGAGGCCAGGATTTTGATCTACTGATGTGGTCTGTTGAAGTCTAAATATTTTAGTTACATGGAATCTGAGCCTGTTAACAGGGACACCGTTACACAGTGGATCCGTGGGGACGCTGTAGCTTGCGTGAGAGGCTGGCCTGGGGGAGGCAGGCAGCAGGCAGAGCGCTCGAACATGATTTTCACAAACAATAAAGAGGTAGGAAGACTCGTGAAGAACAGTGTCTGCAGAATTCTCGTTGAGGTTCACTGAACCAAACAGGCTGGGACCTAAGTCCATTATTGAAATTCGTTTGGATCTCCTTTATCTATTGCTCTTTGATTGCTCCTGGCCTCACTCCACCCCAGCCTTTGTGGGGCTGAGACGCCAGTCCCAGACCTGGATATTATTGTGAACAGGCTCAGATTCCCAAGGGTATTTTTCCATTGGTTTTTAGAGAGAGGGAATCAATTGGTTGCTTTCTATGCGAGCCCCAACCAGGACCTGGGCAGGAAAGAAACCCACAACCCAGGTCCATGCTTGTTGACCAGAATGGAACCTGGGACCTTTCAGTTCACAGGCTGACACACTATCCTCTGAGCCAAACCAGCAAGACCTATTTGGTTATTTTAGACTGCAATAATGTAAATAAAACTACAAAATAATGGTGACCTTTAAAGGCTCAGCTTTATAGCACCTGCCGACGGGCAGCTTTCCCGGCAGGGACACGGGGGGGGCCTCTGCTGGAAGGTGGAGCTGCAGCCCCCAAGTGAGAGTGCGCCTGCCTAAGACCCGTTTGCTTCCAGCTCGCAGATTCGCTGGTGCCCATGGAGATTAAGCCTGGCATCTCCTTGGCAACCGTTTCGGCCGTGCTGCACACTAAAGACAACAAGCATGTTCTTCAGGTATCTTGGGGGGGATCCGGGGAGGGGGGGGCGGACTTGAGCCCTGAGGAGCTGCAGGGCCTGGGACGACCATAAGCCCCTCCCCCAAAGCCCTAGCATTCAGCCAGCTCCCAGGACACTCCCCACTACTACTTCTCTGGCCACGCGCCTCTGAGAGAAAGGGGAAGAGAAACTGCCATTCTCAGACGGGGCCACCCACCATACTAAGTGCTGCCCATGGCTCTGAAGTTCCACGTCACTCAGAGCTCCCGAGGGTGCCCACCCCAGCACCGCAGGGCACTAGGTGGGTGCTGGGGGAAAGGAGGGACGTTAAAAATCAGCCAGATGGCACCCTCCCACCGAGGCCTAGAAATACTAAGTACAGCTGCCATCAGGGCCCGAGGGCCTGGGCATCACAGTACAGGGTCCACGTGGACGGACAGCACCCGGGGCCCCCCCTGGTGGTGCCGCTGTGCCAGTGCTGTCTGCACCCACCCCCTTTAGGAAAACACCTTGCAGAGCTGGCCTGTGGTACCTCGTAGCCTGCATAGCCTGCATCGTGGACGTGTGAAGTGTGCAGGATGCTGTTGGGCCCCGAGCTCTGTCCTCACAGAAGTCTCATCGCCGTGTCACAGGCACTTTCTCTGGCCAGGAGGGTTCTCACCGGTCAGTGACCCACAGCCGGTGGCCCATGCAGCTGTGCTGTTGTTGCACCTGCAAGTGCCAGCACGGGTTGACGGTTTACTCAGAAAACACAACCGAGTCAGTTAAAAATTAAACACGGCTCTTTATCAAAGGAAGGTGTCTGCCAGCTAAGGAGTTACGCTGTGTGGAGAGCTGGCATTTGCTTGTGGGCATTGAGAACTCCAGAGGGAGCCCCAGTGCCCGCAGACTGGACACCACAGGCAGCAGCAGGCAGCTGGGCTGCGGTGCCCACAGGTGTGTGTGTGTCCTGACCCGTGTTCCTCCTGCTCCAGCCCCCACCCAGGCCGGCCCCGCCCGCGGGTGGGAAGAAGAGGAAGCGGGTGAACGATGACATCCCAGACTGCAAGGTTCTGAAGCCCTTGCTGAGCGGGTCCATCCCCGTGGAGCAGTTTGTGCAGACGCTGGAGAAGGTGAACACATGTCTGCTCCGCCCGGGAGCCGTCCTCTCCCTGTGCCTCCCGCTTCGAGGATGTGCTGCTGCTTTCCACTTGGTTTGGTCTCCTCTGAGCTCCTGTCCCTGTGGCATCTGCCTGGTCCCAGGTCATGTCAGGGACAGACCGGGGGTGGGGGGATTGAGAGGTGCGTGGAGCAGGCCCCCTTCCCATCCGGTACCAGGGAGTGCGGTGACAGCTTCATCAGGTGCCCCCCTTGGAGCAGCGAGGCTGAGCCTTTCTCAGAGACCTGGGGCAGCCAGGCAGGCGGGGATGGGGGAGGAGAAGGGTCAGGGTCTTCCCTCCAGAGCCTCCCTTCTCACAGCCCCTGTGCCAGCGTGGCCCTGTCCCAGGGATGAGTCTCAGGGGAGGGTCAGGAAGAGGTTACTGGGGAGGCAGGCCCAGCCATTGCCGGGCGGGTGGGCGGGCGTTGTGAGGAGTTGCCTCAGAGAAAGAGATCCTTCTCCATCGCAGCAGCTGCCACACCTTGTTCCTCTGGCTGCTCCTCCCAAGGAACAGACTCCAACTATAATTATAAGAAAAATAATTCAACCTTAAAGGTTTTTAGAATTTTGGCTTCAGTCACAGAAACTTCAAAGATTCTAATGAATTACAGAATCCTTGATAGAAAGAGGGAATTAGCTAAACATGTTATTCATGCTGCTGCTTGCAAGAACTGCAGCTAACTGGAATAAGAAGTTCCAGGAAAAGAGGTTTTCTTCTTTCAAAGCTGCTGCCTCGGGGACCGAGTGCTTCCACATGGGAAAGCTTTCTCTTTATTGGGATTTGTTTCCTCCTTGTCATTTCATTGTCCCTGAAGGAAGGGCTTCCGCCAAGGTGTGCAGCCCCGGGTGAGTACTGAGGGTGCTCCGTGGGCACCCAGCAGCCCCGGTCCCTGGTGCCGGGACTCACCCTTCTTGACTTGTCTTTTAAACAACTTGCTTCCCCAAAAAGACCTTTACTCAGTTCTTCTGCCCGGCTCAGCCAGGCACCGAGCCCAGGACCTGACCCTGTTCCCTCCCCCATCTCTGCCCCATGCCACCCGTGTGCTCGCTAGAACTGGGTAGAGCTCCTCAGGTCTGGCTCTTCACCTGCTTGGCATCCCTTTCAGGCTAACCCGTCGTCTTTCCACGTCTTTTCTTTTTTCTCAACATTATGTCTGATGTGTAAGTCCTGTGATTGGCATCAGAGATGGCTAGAGAGGCATTTGCTGCTTTATTTCTTCTCCCTGAGAGGGATGTGCCCGGTCACCGGGTCCGTGGGATCTTGCTTGAGGAAAGGCGTTTCCCGGGCAGGACTGAGCCTCTTCACTAGGGCCCATGGGCGAGGTGCGGAGGCTGCTGACGGGCCCAGCGTCCCAGCCCCCTGAGCAGGCACTGGCTGTGCTCAATCACAAAAGCTTACGCAGGTTACCGAAATTCTGTCTTGTTTTGCATGTTTGGGGGCCTCTTTTGAAGTTCGGTTGGCCTCTGAACACAGGTGTGAAGTGTGCAGGTCCACTTATACATAGAGCTTTTCAATACACATACAGTCAGCCTTCCATGCCCATGGGTCTTGCATCCACTGATTCAACCAGCTCGGGTCAAAAACAGTACTTTTGACCTACACATGGAGAGCCTTGCTATTATACTGTTTATGTAAGGAACTTACAGATTTTGGTATCTGCAGGGGGTCCTGGAACCAATCCCTTGTGGGTACCAAGGGCCAACTGTGGCTGAGTCTTCGGGCCCGAAGTTTTATGCGGGTTTTCACTGCGCCAACAGTAGGCACCCTTAGCCCCTGCATTGTCCAGGGCAGCTCGGGGAGAACACAGGTTGAACTGCAGAAGGTCCAGGTCTGAAGGATTTCACACCGGTTTCTAACCACTGAGCGTAGCTGTCTGGGAGGGGCGTGTTTAGGGTTCTCAATTGCTGAAATGCCCTCCTGCCTTCGGTCAGCCGCTGATCCTCGGAGTCCCCACCAACCACCTCTTTTCTGTTGGCGCAGCATGGCTTCAGTGACATCAAGGTGGAAGACACAAGCAAGGGCCACATCGTCCTGCTCCAGGAAGCGGAGACCCTCATCCAGATAGAGGAAGACTCAACCCACATCATCTGTGACAATGACGAGATGCTCAGGGTACGACTGCGGGACCTTGTCCTCAAATTCCTCCAGAAGTTCTGAATGGAGCACGTGAGCCACGTCTGCTTCCCTGAGATTCCTCCACCCTTCACGCTCCGCCTGCCCAGCACAGGCCATGTGAGAAGGGCACCCAGGTCAGCCGGGCCTTTGTGGTGGTTTCTGTGGGCCACATCTGGAGAGGGGGTGCACCTGCTGGTTTGGACTTGCAGCGCTGTCTCAGGCAAGAGCTTTCGTTTACGCTTTAGACTCATTTTCTTCCGGAGCCTGGCTCTCTCGGAGAGCCGGGATGGCAAGACAGTGAGCTGAGCAGCACAAGAGTGACTGAGCAGTTCCCCAGGTCAGTGGTGGGGAGGGGAGGTCTCGGGTGGCCAGTGTTTGTTCTTCATCGTGACACAGGCCTCGGGTGGGTGGGGAACCAGGGACTTTGTGTTACTTGCTTATCTACTGTGTTGCATCTGATAAGACAGATGACCCAAAAAAGTTAGTAAAATTAATCCTTTTATCTGTATTTTATATAGTGAGCCCATTTTGTTAATAAAGCTTATTTTTATAGGAGACTCTATGCTCTGTTGAACCTACAATTTACACTGATACAGTATCTGAAAAAATGTGGAAATATTCAGACTAGCTAATCTTAGAAAATACAATAGCAAATATTAATTTGGTGAGCATGTTTAATCATATAACATGGCTTTTTTAAAATACACTAAGTGGCCATGTTATTATGACCTCTGAACGCATAATAATCTGGCCACTCAGTGTATATCCTATATAATAAAAAGGCTAATATGCAAATTGTCCCCTCGACCAGGAGTTCAACCAGCAGGCCAGGCCTCACCCATGCACGAATTCATGCACCGGGTCTCTTTTATGTATATACACACACACACAGTGGCCAGATTATGCATTCAGAGATCAAAATATAATAATCTGGCCGCTCAGTATATAAAATTCACCCCTAACTGGTTTAGCTCAGTGGATAGAGCATCGGCCTGCGGACTGAAGGGTCCTGGGTTCAATTCTTGTCAAGGGCATATACCTGGATTTTGGGATTGATCCCCAATAGGGGGCATGTAGGAGGCACTCGATGATTCTCTCTAATCATTGCTGTTTCTCTCCCCTCTCTGAAATAAAAAAAGAATCTAGGAGAGCCACATTTAAATATAATTCATAGTTTTCCTTAAATTGTTTGAAAAGGTGCTGAACTTTACCTGAGCTGTGTCTCTAATGAAAAACCCCAGCCATGACCTTCTAGGAGGGTCCTGAACAGGAGCTGGACTCTACTAAATCATCAGTTGCCAACCGGTGGTCCATGGACCACTGGTGGTCCATGAGGTCCAAAAGGTGGGCGACCACTGTACTGCATGACCTTTACCTGCAGTAACTTTTCCCACAGATTCTCAGGATTCTCTGCAGTAAGTTCAGATGCCCAAAGACCCACCACTAACAGTAGTGCATTTGAAATCATGCTGCTTCTGAATTGTTTCAGACAGACAGACAGACACATCTAATCTAGCAGCATCATTTGCAGTGCACATGCACATTTTTCAGGTATTAAAATGTGGAGTGCAAGTCTTAGTCACCTGCGGTAGTAGTCCCAGCTCAGCTGCTGTTCTGAAAAAAAATTTTAGACGGCCGTTCAGCCAGAAAGTCAGTCCTCCAACTCACTTAGCAGCTAAACATCACAAAGAGATGTATGTGTGTGTATAGGTATACATACATACATATACAATATACAGCACTATGGAGCTGCTTACGTGGGTATCAATTTTCCCTCTGGAATAAATACTTAGTGAGAATGAATTCTTCGTTAAAGGAGGAAAAAGACTACTTCACTTTTTGCCACTTCCAGCTTTGTCAGATTGGGGCACAGGAATGCTTACACAGGTGTTTCTAAGGTACCGGTCACTCCAATCAAGGGCCCAGGGATGTGTCTATAGAATAGAGTGGGAGCCTTCAACCATGAGAGAGAATGACATTACAAAAGACTGATGTGCCGTAGCCAGGAAAATTTAGTTTTTAGGAGGAGAGCTGTAAATAGCATCACATGTAGGGACACTTCCTAAATAAAACATGAGAAAATCAAGTTAAAGTGTTTTGTTTTTTTAAATGATAAAAACACAAAAACAGTACAAAACAGAGCTCAAAAAAAAAATCAAAATGGTTATTTTAGTTACAGATCCTAATAATGATACGTTCAGGAATGGCTTGGATTTGTTCAAGCTTGCTTTGTTTAAGTGCTTGATGAGAGCACAAGGGCACAGAGACAACCCGTAGTATATGTAAATTAGTCAAATGGACAGGGACTAATCTAAAAATTATGACGGTTTTAATCAAGTTACTCCCACCTACTTAGTGGGGGAAGCCAGAGGAAGGAGGAAGCACAGACTCACTCATTAGATCTGGAGCCGGCCTTTCCAAAAGCAGCTGTCACTCCACCTGAGCTCAGGCATCCGGTCCCACACCCGGTGGGGAGTGGAAGACCCAGAAGAAACGGCTCACCCGTCTGCAAGGGCCACCCACTCTGACCGAGGCGGCCCTCTCCCCTCTCACCACCACCACCACCACCACCACCACCACCACCACCACCACCACCCCCCCCCCCCCGTGCTGACCTGGCGAAAGGCCTGACACCTGGAAAGGCTTGATTACATAGTAATTCGAAAACCATTAAAAATGCTGAGGAGGAACCTGATGTTATTTCGTCTAAGAAGTGATACTGCTACTGTTAAGTACCAAAATATCCAAAACTTAGTGGCTTAAACATCATCTCACCGTTTCTGTGTGTCAGGAGTCTAGTGTGGCTTAGCTGGGTGCTCCTGGCTCAGGATTCTCTCCACTGGGCGACAGTAGAGGAAACTAAGGTTAAGTAACTTTCCCCAACACATAGCCAGTAAGTGGCTTCTGCCTTGCCAGAGTGTCCCAGGTGGGTGTCCGGCAACAGGAGCAGGCCGGGAAGGGAAGGCGTACCTGTTAGTTCATTTCTTTTCAAGCAAAGGTAACAACTCACCATGATCCCTGGAGAATATGGAGCTTTTGGCTGTCTGCCAAACTACAATGACATATCAACAGAAATAGGAGTGAAGAAACCTCCCAAGTTATATGATAACTAGAGGCCCAGTGCATGGATTTGTGCACATTGAAAGGAAACTAAATACAGTGGGGTGGGACTGGTTGAGACGGGCTGGACATGCCCTGGAGCCAACCTCCCATGGTCCCTCCCCACCAGCTGCACCTGGAGTGGTGCCAGGGTTTGAAGGGCATCTGCAAAGTGAGGGTTGGTCCTTCCAGCAGGTGGGGTTCCTCGGCCTGGCCTGCAGGGATCAGGGTGAAACTGGCAGTTTGACATCCCCCAAGGGATCTCAAAATGCAAGAGGGCACTCTGCAAAGTTGCTATTGCTCAGCTCCTGCATTGAGCATCTGCCCCCTGGTGGTCAGTGTGTCATACCTACTGGTTGGTCAGCTGGTTGCTTAGCCTTTTACATATATATATTCATATGAACCATGTAAACTGGTGGGTAGGAAAGGGAGATACTCCTTTGGCATCGAGTCCCATTTCCCTCTACAGTCCTAAGGAAAGTTGAATGTTGTCTCATTGTTTCATACTATACTGGGGGGAAGCAAAAAAAAAAAAAAAAAAAAAAAATCAGATGGTCTTAAACTCACTGCAGTGGAATTATGTGTAAATAACATGAACATAGAATGAGGTAAAAATAACCAACTATAAATCTGAAGGAAATACTAGTAACAACTAAATCCTAGATAGGCAGTATGGCGCTGAGCCCAAAATGTCAAATCTTAGCGGGGGTTAGAGCCAACAATGACCATGAGTTTATTCTCTAAAGATTAAATGTCACAGTCTCCACTGCTTCTTAGTAGTAGTCGGATACAGATTTTATTCATATCATTAAAACTATTTTACCATCTAACAAAATTCCAATGGCATTTTTCACAGTAATAGAAAAAGCAACCCTGAAATGTCTATGGAACCTCTAAAGACCCTAAGTAGCCCAGCAATCCTGAGGGAGAACAAAGCTGGAGGCATCACACTTTCTGACTTCAAGCTTTATTACAAAGCTATATAGCAATCAAAATACTATGGTGCTGCCATAAAAATACACACAGAGGCTAATGGAATCTGAGAGCCCACACATAGTCAACTAATATTTGACAGGGGAGCCAAGAAGACTCAAAGAAAGAGCAGTCTCCACTAAATAAATGGTGGTGGGAAAACTGGGGAACCACATGCAAAAGAATTAAATTGGACCCCCACCTTATACCACTCACAAAAATTAACTCAAAAAGCATTAAATACTTAAATGTAAGACCCAAAATTGCAAAATTACTAGAAGAAAACAAGGGTAAAGTTTCTTGTCAAGGGTAAAGGCCTTGACAACATTTTTTTTTTTAATGATACCAAAAGCACAAGCAACAAAAGCAAAAATAAACAAGTGGGACCACGTCAAATTAAAAAGCTCCTGCACCGCCCAGAAAACAAACATCAGCAAAATGAAAAGGCAGCAACCAAATGAGGGGAAATGTGTGCAAACCATCTCTCTGATAAGGGTCTAATGTTCAGAATACATAAAGAATCATACAACTCAATAGCAAAAAGATGCTCTGTTTTTAAAATGGGGAAAGAACTTGGATAGACATTTCCATAAAGAAAACAGAAAAGACAGATAATCAAGTTTTGGCAAGGATGTGGAAAAGGGGAACAATTGTGCATGTACTGTTAGTGAGAATGTAAATTGGTACAACCACTAAGGAAAACAATATGGAGGGGTTCCTCAAAAAATTAAAAATAGAGCTATCATATGATCCAGCAAGATATGATTAGTCATCAGGAAAATGCAAATTATAACTACATGATATCATTACTCACCAGAATAGCTAAAATTCAAAGGACTGAAGAAACATTAGATTGGTGAGGCTGTGAGAAAACCGGAACCTGTTATCTGTGGGAGTGCGAAATGTGTGCAGTCACCGGAGAAAGGTCTGGCAGCTTCTTATAAACATGTAGAATTTATAGATACAGAGAA